GTATACAAGCCTTGTATGCACATATGAATAATAAAAGAAAAAAAAGATTTATTTATGACATAGTGATAGATAGACGATATGGCTAAAATAGTAACAGAAAAAAGATAGCTTCAGAAAATGAACCAGTATATGATGCAGCCACTATGAAAAAAAAAAGTTTCATATTTAAATGAGGCATAATATCTAATAACTTCAGATCACACCAAAATATGATTTTTAATTATTTGATCTTTTTTAAGACCATGTTCCTATTTGTAATAAAGAAAATTATAGTACCTAAAAAAAAAAAAACAAAAAAAACAACTTGAGCCAGAAGCTGGTGGCTCACACCTGTAATCCTAGCTGCTCAGGAGACAAGATCAGGAAGATTGAGATTCGGGCAAATAGTTAAAAAAAAAAAAAAAAAACCATCACAAGAAAAGGGCTGGTGGAGTGGCTCCAAGTGTAGGCCCTGAGTTCAAACCCCAATACCAGAAAAAAACAAAAACAAAAAACAACTTGAGTATAAAAATGAGAATGAATTTATGAAAGTAGTAAGATGAGATATACCTGAAAAAGAAGATCAGGAAAACTGATGCAGATTTATATTGTTGGAAAAGAAGAGGTAAAATTGGAGGATAAGTGAATAAGTAAAAGGGGGAAAAGTGAATAAATAAGAGAGGGAAAATGAATGTATTTACTTCCTCTAGTTGAAAAATCTAAAATTGGATGGAGGATGAATAAGAGGTATTAATACTGACTTAGGAAATTGGAACATTTAAAAAATTAATTTATTTTCCTTTAAAAATACTTCCTGTAATCCTTCTTTAATGTTGTGCACTAAAAGGGACTTTAAAATTGACTGAAAATACAGAAAGGTGGAGGAGGGAAAGATGGGGTTTTAGATCCTGTGATTAAACGCGCATTTTTAGGTTGGAAAAACATCCAAACTGTAGTCAGATTAAAAGGTACTCATGGGTCCATATCTTTATTTGTCCTTTCTCTGGTAGATATTGTGAGTACTTTGCAAGTCACTGGAATGACACAGTTTAGCAGTGTTGCTTTTTTTTCCCAGTTGCTTTTTTTCCCCGGTGTTTTGTGTTTAATCTGGTATTTAATAAAGAAAGCTTTACTTAACAAGTGCATTTTTATTTGTTCTTTATCTGGCAGATACCTAGATTACTCTTCAAGCCACTCCAAAGGTACAGAGAAGTGTTAGTCTTTTTCACCCAGTAGCACAACTTGTAAACTATCAGGGAGGTGACATTTTTGTGTTTTGGACTTAAGTGATATTTATATGGAGAGGTTAGTGTGAAAAAGAAAACTTTTCAAGAAATCAGCTAACTTCTATCCCAAATATTTAAAAGTGTACATTGAGAACTTAACACCAGGTTTATTTGGTGATATAAAGTCTCAGTGATTGAAGACAAATCCAAAGAAGAAAAGCCCTATGAAAGTGAGAATAGAAATGTAAAATAATGTTAATATTGCATTGGTGAGATTGGAGATAATTGTACTTGGTCTTTCCCTGATGTAATGTTTGTGAATGTTGGAAACTGTGGAAGTATAAAGGGGTGATAGTGTTACCCCTAGGAGGGCTGGAGGGACTGGCTCCCTGAGATAAGTAGATAGATTCTAGGGAAGAGTGTAGAGGTAGAGGTAACTATTGGGAAATTGAGGGAAGGATAGGGCCCATCACGTTCAGGATGAGGTCGTGTGTGCTGGTGAGTGGAATGGAGATCTGCAAGCTATAAGAATGGTGAATTGCTGGCAGAGATGCCAGGGTATGCAGTGATGATGGCACATGGGGTAAGGAGGAATAGTAGGGCTTAGTTCTAAGGAAGTTTATACAGGAATTTGGGAATCCCTTTGGTCTTTAGAGGCAATGTAATGATGAAAAGTAAAAAAGTAAAATTCTTAAAAGTAAATTCTGGCCAGGCTCCAGTGGCTCACACCTGTAATCCTAGCTACTTAGGAGGCAGAGATCATGGGGATCGCAGTTCAAAGCCAGCCGAAGTCAAATAGTTCAGGATACCCTATCTCAAAAACACCAGTACAAAAGAGGGCTGGTGGAGTGGCTCAAGTGGTAGAGTGCCTGACTAGCAAGTGTGAAGCCCTGAGTTCAAACCCCAGTGCTGTCAAAAAAAAAAAGAAAGAAAGTAAACAATTCTAAGAACTAAGAAAGACATTAGGTATTATTCTTTCTTCTACCTGTCTCCTATTATGTAGTCCCAATGGTGTGACCTTGAGCCCTACTGGTGAGTAGTCCTATAAAATTGATTTTTTTCCTGAAATTTTAGGTCATAGAGAAATGAAAAATCTAACAGAATTATGCTTTATGGGAGGATCCCGCTAGGAAAATTTGAGATACATAAAAAGGCTGTCTACGCAGATAAGAGCCCTTGCATTCTTGACTAAGATTACCAAATATCCCAGTTTGCTAGACTGAGAATTTTCTAGAATGCAAGGCTTAAAACCTGGATGAGCCTGGACAAATGGATGAGTTGATCACCCTCTTGTTTACTGTTCCATTTACAAGTTTATAGAAATAACCAACAATAACCTTTTTTGTAAGTTATCTCTATATCAAAGTAATATTCCTATATTGCTTAAATCCCAAAAAAAGAGAAGGTGGGGGAGGGAGGTAGTATGTGATTGAAGTATGCATGTATGAAAAAGTTGTAATGAAACCCATTGCAACAATTTAAAAATTGCAGAAAAGACTTTAAAAAGAGGGGTGAGAGGAGAGGGGGATGTAATATGATCAAAGTATATTACATGCATGTATAGAACTGTCACAATGAAACCTCTCACCTTGTACAATAACATGAGCTAATAATAAAATTAAATCCCATATTCCATAGTTTACATTTTTTATAAAGCAGTTATTTTTTATTCTTTAGACTTGCTGAATCTGATATATTAGCAGGAGAGAGGCTGATTACTTCATCCACTTTTATCTTTGCTACTTTCATTGACTTTTAAATTTGTTCTACTGATACAACGGCTTTGCCTAGATTCAGGCTTTCTAACCTTTTAGGTTCCATAGTCATTGTACTAAATTATATCACTAATAGATACCATCCTGTCTTGTTACTGAAAGTATCTTTTTCTTCTACCATTTTTGTTTCCTTGCCATACCTACTTTACAGACCATGCAACCAATAAGTATGTTTATTAATTGATCTGGCAGATGGATTTGTGACAGTATTTTGCTGGCTTTTCAAAGCCTTTACATTATGCATGGTATGCAGAATTAATCTGGTCTATTCTAATCAGATGGCTTTTTAAAAAAGTAGTTTTTGACTTAAGAATATCATCGTAAAGTAAGTGGCCAATTAAGATACATCTTCTAGAGTCAGGCTGGCCAAGGTGGTGCATGCTTATAATCCCAGCACTCAGGAGATTGAAGTAGGAGGATCATGAGTTCAAGGCCAGCCTGGTATACACAGGAAGACCTTGCCTTAAAAAACAAACAAACAAAAAACCATACAAAAAACCTTCTAAGTGAGGATTTAATAGATCTAGACCTTCAGAGTGCAGAAAAATATAGGTTATTATCTACATTAGGGACTATGGTGAATTTTTATACAACCTTGTGGTATTTTTAAAGGGTTGTAATAGACATAATCAGTTCAGTTATAACTGGCCATATCCTCTGAGCCTAGATTGTAACCTAAATTCATTTGGATGGATAACCAGTTTGCTGTAAAATTTGTTAAAATTCACACTTTGGTTTTTTTCTTTTGTCACACCCACTTTCTCAGTTTCTGAACCTGAATTGCTCCTACGTTTTTCTCTTTTCTCATAGCCCAGGTACCAAGGACAAATGGAAAATAGTCATATCATCATGTAGTTTCTTGTCCTGTAGGTTTGTGATGAACACGATATTGCTTAGTGGAGGTTGATCAGTACCTTTTCTCATTCCTTTTAGCATTTATTCCAAAGTATCTCTTCCATGATCAAACCTGCTCTCTGGTACCACTGTCATAAATTGTGACCACAGAATAATTCTTTTCCATAAACATTTTCCAAAAGCTAGCTGTTTCTGATACCTGGAGGTTAACACGTTTCCTTTGAGTTGCAAAGGAAGTGAAACTTCTGTTTCTAACCTCTTCCCACAATGCAGTAAGCCTTTACACAATAAAGTAAGCCTTTATTAAGTGATTATTTTGTGCCTTGTGATCAGAGTCTAAGTTTTACATGTTCTGTCTCATTTACTCCTCATTACAGCATGAGGTAAATGGCTTTGCTCTTCTTAGTCTACGATACAGAAAATGAACTATGGAAAAGATAACTTCATCATTTAGTTCTTAACCTGCAGAACTAGAAACGAAATCTAAGTAATCTGATTTCAGAGTTGGGTCTTGAAAACTTTGCCATATTGTCTCTCCAGTTTTGTTCCTCTTCTCCCTGTCCCAGTTATGGCACCATCATCTACCCAGATACTAAGATGGGAAATTTCAGTTTAGATTCCTTTTTTGGGGGGAGGCTGGGGTGAGAGTAACCCTCAGCTATGCCATAATCATCTAGTCAAAGACCTTATCCTAACGGTTTTCTTCATATTGCCAATACTCTTATTTGTATAGGCTCACTCTTGTATCTGACCTTGTAGCTGCCAAAGATATTTTTCCCAAGTGCAAGTTCTCATTATTGAAACACTTTAGTATGTGTCACTTACCTTGTGGATCAACTTTAAAGTCCTGTGTATGTATATTTAGGTACCATATGAATCTATAGGAGCCTGTATGGCTTAGACTGTCTCTGTTTACCTGTGAGCCTTATCACTTTATCCTTTTGTCCTAGCATTTGTCTGGGTGCTCTGGCACATTGTTTTTGTAATTCTGTCTTGGAAGAATTACACTTCAAGAGGTAGTTCGCTTTCGAGTTATTTTCTCTGAGAATCCTTTCCTAATCCCTGTAGATAGATTGGATTGACAACTTCTCTTGTGTGCCTCAAGTATACTTCTTTATATCTAGTTTACTAATTATCACACTGAAAGCTGTTTGTTTGTTTACAGGGTTGTCTCTTCACCAGACTATGAGCTCCTTGAAAGAAGGAATCGTGTCTTACTCATCTTTCTACCCCCAGTGTCTAGCACAGTTCCTGATACATAGTAAGTGATTAACATTTTTTAAACTAACACTATATTTATCAGTCAAACTCAGTACATGTTGATTGTTAACTATATCTATATAGAACCAGTAATACTTTGTTATAAAAATATGGCCAGGCACTGGTAGCTCATGCCTATAATCCTAACAATTTAAGAGGCTAAGAATGGGAGGATTGCAGTTCAAGGCCAGCCTGGGGAAAAAGTTAATGAGACCCTATGTCAGCCTATTGGCCATGGTGGTGTGCCCCTTTCATCCCAAGCTACACTGGAGGTTGAGATCAGGAGGATTGCAGTTGTAGGCCAGCGTGGATAAATAAGTTTGCAAGACCGCATCTCAATAGAAAAAAGCTGAGTCCATTATGGTGGTGTGCGCCTGTAATCCCAGCTATGGTGGGAAACATAAATAGGAGCTCACAGTACAGGTTGACCTGGGCAAAAAGTGAGTCCCTGTCTTCAAAACAATTAGAGCAAAAAGGCCTGGAAGCATGGCTCAAGTGTAGAGTGCCTCCCTAGCAATTGTGAAGCCCTGAGTTCAAACCCAAGTACGGCCAAAATAAATAAGTAAATTATTTATGTATATATACACAGCTGCAGACTTTTAACATGTCTGAGACTCAATTTCCTCATTTGTAAGCTAGACATAGTACTTCCCTACTTACAGTGTTACTGCAGTGCTCAGATTAAAGAATATGTATGTATGTATTTATACACACACACACTTATATACATACATAGTGCATTCATACATATATATTACATTCTACTTTGTGTTAATAAATGAATTGTGGGACCAGGTATAAGGGTATATACCTGTAATCCCAGTACTTGGGAGGCAGAGGCAGGAGAATTTTAAGTTCAAAGCCAGCATGGGCTATATAGTAAGTTCTAGGCCAACCTGGACATAGTGAGACCTTGTCTCAAAAATCTCAAGTAAATAAATAAACAGTCTTCCCTTTTAGGACAAGATGGTATCATTTTTGAACCATTTCATCATGTTTTGTAGTTTAAGTTGTAGTTGCTGGTTGCCAGAGGCACGTGTTCTTGATTCTGAGAAATGTTTTCTATAGAAGGGTGTATATAGAACAAAGGGAAAATAGATTGAGGCTCATCAGGATATAGAGAGAGTTTGAAATACTGGAGTGAACAGTTTTTTTTCCTGGATGTCATCAGCTTACAGTCTGTGTAGTGTTTTAAACTTGTAACATTCTTCTCAAAGAACTAATCTGATGCCTCCTTTATTCTTAGCAATATTTTTCTGATTCATTAATTTTTTTCATTAAAAAAAATCTTGACCCAGACAATGTATGCACATGTGAATAAATGAATAAAAAAAAAATCTACCTGCAAAAGAAATGAATGTCTTCACTTATTCTTAGGTCCCTCGCTTACTGCCCAGAAGAAGTGGTTTTTTTGGGAAGACTGATTAAATGCCATCATGGACTACAGAAATCACACTTAATGAATTTGTGATTTACATTTTACTGTATTTTCTTCCTTGCCTTCCACGTATTCCTTAAATTACTAAAATGTACAATTTGAACATGCCAGATTATATATAACATATGGAAATCAGTAATAAACACAGACATCTATGAGTCAACTATTTTAAACTAAAAACTAGGTCAGTACTAGCATGGTTACAGAGCTACCTGAGAATGCCTCCCTTATACATATTCCTGTCTTTTTTCCAACCCTAATGTAACTGCTATCCTGAATTTGTTTTTTTCCATTTCCTCCTTTTTTCAATACTACAATTATAATTATTTGTTTTGAGTTTCATAATAGATTAGCCTGTAGGCTTTTCAAAGCTTGCTCAAATAGTATTTTCTTACAGAAGAACATCTAATTTATAAATCCCTATATATCTCAAGGTAAACATTGAAACATAAAAGAAAGATTATATGGACAGAAACATCTCGATGTATAAATTCAAGTTTACAATCAGAAAATAGTTATGGAGACTTGAAACAGTGACAGCTTGTCCTTTGGTGGCCCTTCTGACGTTCAGCTCGAGTGTGCCATTGAATTGTGTTTGTGTACAAAGTTTTGAGACTCAGCATCCACGCCACCTCACATTCATGGATTTCTTTGTCACTCTTGGAATCATGGCATTTTCAGAGAAAATGCACACCAAAAGATGAGGTCACAGGAATCAGCAAAAGAAATCATTTCCTTCTCTGTCAGGGTTTGGAAGAATTTCTTGATGACTTCAGTACATATCGTATTAAATCTCAGAGGTAGGACTAAGTGTGATGAAGATGGTAATGCTCAGAAGGTCTGTTTATCTTTCTCTCCCCTACTTTTATGTTTCTAAGGTTCATTTATGTTGTTGCCTACAGAAATAGTTCATTCTCACTGCTCTATAGTGCTATACCATATGAAGTAACCTAATTTATTTAACCATTTTTCTATCAGTGGACATTTGAATAGTTTTCAGTTTTTTGTTATGAAGAATGTTTATACTTAAAACATAAGTACAAAAATATTTCTGTAAAATTTGGAATTGGTCATGAAGGGCATGCAGTGTCAACTTTATATGATAATGTCAAATTGTTTTCCAACAGGACTTTACCAATTTAAAACACCCACCTTTAGTGTACTGCATCTATCACCATTCCATATGTTTTGTTCTTATTTGGTACTATCAACATTCCTAGTAAAGTAGGTTTTGTGTTCTGAGGAGTTTAAAATGACAAGTCATGGTTTGAAGTTTTAGCTGTTAGATGTTTTCATGGATTTCTTGGCAAATAAAATCCTGGATGAGGGTTTGCTCGTTTGCTGACTGAATTGTCCTTATTATTTGTAGACTTTCTTACATAGTTTAAATGCTGTTCTTTAATTAGTATTGTATTGCAGATATCAGCTAGTTGCTAGATTGTCTTTTAGTTTTCTTTATTAAACAATTTTTTAATTAAGAAGGATTTATTTAGTTTTCTTTATGATGTTTTATGACAAACAGAAGTTCTCAGTTTGACTGTTGTCAGAATATTCACTTTTTCTTCTTGGTTAATAAGTTTTGTGTTTTGTTTAAGACACCTTTCTATTCTGGAAGAACATAAAACAATAGTTTACTGGTATGCTTTTTCTATTTACATTAGTAGTCCATCTTGAGTTGGGTTTGTATATGATGTGAGGGAGGGATTCAGTTTCATTTTTTTTCTGTATTGAAAACTTCAGGACCATTTAACTGTCTTTCCTTTCTCATGGCTTTGAGTTACTACTTTTGTTAACATGTGTAGGTTTTTTTTGGCTTCCTGAATCTTGCTAACCATTTATTATAGTGTTTTCTAAAAAGTAACTGCTGACTTTGTTGATTTCTCTGTCATCTTTTTCTGTCTTAGTATTTTTCTCCTCTTACCTTCTTTCTGTGCGTTTATTCTGTTACTTGCTTTCTAATTTACCACATTGGCCTATTAACTCATCAGTTTTCAACCTATATATTTGCTTCTAATTATAACTTTTTCAGTATTCCACTTTTTTTTTCTTTTTGGTTTCTTGAGAAAGGTTCTTACTATGTAGTTTAGGCTGTCCTCAAACTTGAAATGCTCCTTCCTCAGCCTTCCAAATGTTAGGATTACAGGTATGTGCTATCACTCCTGGGTCACAGATTTTTATATGTGGTATTTTTGTTGTCATTCAATTCTTTGTATGTTTTTAAATTTCCATAATGATTTTTTCTGACCCCTGAAATGTTTAGAAGTGTTTTTTAATTGTATTTGCATTTAAGATTTATCTTTTGTTACTGATTTTTATGATCAGAAAAATGGGAGACATCATTATTTTTATTTTTCATTTTTACCCAGTGTGTTGTCTTTTTGTACATCCTATGAGTCCTAAAGAACAATGTTTATTTTCTAATAATTGGGTCTGAGGTTCTGTTTATGTTCATTAAGTCCTGCTTATTCATATTTTTGTCCACTTGGCCTGTGATTAATTGGAATGTTTTGAAATTTCCAACAATAATCAGTTTGTCAGTTTTCTTAGTTCTTAGAGTCCTTTGACCGTTCCCCACTCCCAATAGATAGTTGGAGATTTGATTTGCTCTGAATGTCACAGAATATAGAGAGACTGGGAGAAAGCACAGGATGTAAATAAATGTCTATTTGATTAATCTCACCATCAACTGAGAGAGTAGCATATTTGTAGTACTGAACTTGAAGGCTGAGTTTTCTTTCTTTGATTTAGGTATAGATGTGATGTGTTGGTCTTTTTTGCCATCCTTCCTTTCAGCTCTTCAAATTGGCCTTTATTCCCTCTATGTCCTGAACCACACTGAATTTCTCACTTTTCCCTACCACATATATTTATTTTCATCTGTCTTGACTGATTCTTCTAAGTTGGTTGAGTTGGAACTACTTTTACCCACCACTTATAGGGCATAGCTATCCTGTGTCTGAACACTGAGATCTGGTAGAAGGATTAGGACTTTGCTTCACTGAAGCATTTTCTTCTAGTGGAGAAACCATTACTAGTTTTAGCAGCTGATGAGGTTTGGCAGGTTTAGAAGTTGGAGAGTTTCTTGCCTTATTCTTCCTGCATCCTGGTCTGACTTCTGGAAGGGACTGCAGTCCTTGGCTGAGATGACTCATTTCCTATCCTTAATCATTCTATTTCTGGGTTTCTTTGCTTTGTCAATTTGATTATCTCTCCTGAGGCCATCATTCAAGTTTTGGTTCACCTAGCTGATACTGCAATTTCTCCTGTTTCTTCCATAGATGCTCTTCTGCTTATTGTTCCACACCAAGATAGTTTTTGGACTGGACTGGGAGGTGCCAGCAGGAGTCATATTCCTTGGGAGTAATCTGAAGCTTCAGATTCAGTTTGGGTCTTTGGAAGGGACCTCTATTATCACACCTGTATCAGCCCAAGAGGACCAGTCTTTGGAGTTCCACAACTGATGTCCATTCTGTGGTATCCATTTTAGTGGTTTTTACTTCTTCTGTAGTCATTTTTCCTATAGCGGTACACCCTACCAAGTACTTTTCTTGGAGCCATAGCCTCTTTCATAGTCTTTACATCTCAGTCATCTTAACATTCTAAATATCTGTGGTCTCCATAAGGATCAAAGTTACAACATCACCTCTTCTAGCAGATGAGTAGTCATCAAAGGTATTTTGTGGGAGATGACCCTGGTTGATAACTGAATTCCCAAACAGCACAGTGGTCAGAATGCAGCAGTCAGGTGGAGGTGCCCTGTACATGTCATTATTAACTGTACAAGTGAAACATCTGCTTCTAGGCCATCTGTTCTATCACATCACTTGACTTGTTTGGGACATACATGCTTGTCCACCAGTGTTACCATACTCAGATAGGAGTCTGTTAGGGAGGTCATCTTCCCTTCTCATTATTTTTGTTGTTGTTGTTGAAACCACCATGGTAGGAGACAGAGTGAATGTGGTAAGGCTTTCTTTCTTTCTTTCTTTTGAGCTGCTGGGGATTGGCTTGCAGATGGATACTAGGCAAGTGTACCCCTGAGCTACACCCCAGCCCTGAGCATTTTTTTAAGCATGCAAGTTTAGTTTTATATCTACTTACTGAATTGAACCTTGTATCCTTTTCCTTATTTTCCTTAATAATATTTTATCTGCTACTATAACTAATCCCAGCCTTGTTTTTGTTTGGGTTTGTTTGATATGTGGTTTTGCTTATTTTTCCTTTCATTGTATCAATGTCTTTGTTTTTTAGATGTTTCTTTATTTTGTAGGCACTTACAATTATTTTTATTCTTATTTTGTGCTTTCTGATCATCTTGCTCCCTTCTAGCTTTTTTAGATTGATTGAATTGTTTTCTTATTCTTCTCCCTCCTCTATAGTTGGGAGGAGTAGTTGTTCTTTATTTCTATTCCTTTATGGTTAACTTGGAAAGACTATATAGTCTAAAGTTCAGCGAGATCATAATACCTCTATATTAACTGTTCTCTTTATCTCTGATCTGCCCTTCCATATCTAAGCACCACAATACGATGTTATTTTATTCATATATTGTTTTATTCATATTTACTTGTATGCTTTGGTTCTTCTTTCATCTTTCCCTTCTTGCATCTCAGATCATCCTTGTGTGATAATTTTCTGAAACAGATACTTTAGATTTCCTTGAAGTAATGGTCCACAGTTGATAAACCCTCTTTTGGTTTATCTAGCAATCTCTTAATGCCTTTCTTGTTCCCCAGAGAGCTTTAGTGGTTACATATAATCATCTCAGTCCTTTGTGGATATTTGTTCTACCTTCTGTGCTTTTTTGATGCTGTCCAGAATCCTTTTATTTTACTCCCTTCTTTTGTATGTAATCCCTTTTGTCTGTGCTTCTAATACAGAGAAACTGTGTTTTTGGAGATGAACAGTTTTACTGCTGTGTGTCCAAGTGTAAATTCCTTTATGTTTATCTCTCCTACTTTTTATTAAAATAAAATATTATTTCTTGTAATTGTGGATAAATGTCTTTCGTTAGTTTTGAAAATTAAGTCATTTTTTCTCCTAGAATTGAAACCAGAGTTTTTATGTTCCAGGTCCAATTCCTGAGATTCTTCATGTCAGATCTGGCGACATGCCCCTGTGTACCAAATAAAGAGACACAGTGAAGGGCAGAGAAGGAGGTTTATTATGTGTCCCGGGTATTCCACAGTTCATCTTCAGTCATCTTTGGGGTACAGGTTCAAACAGACAAAACACTGAGGACATATGGCTATCTTTATCTCAAACTAATAAAAACACCATTTTTCTTATTATCTTTTATGTTTTTTCTAGTCACTGGTATGTTCCAATGGATCTTTATCTCAGGCCTTGTTTTAGGAGGGGTTCCAGAGAAGTTGTTATGGAGAATCATTGCTGGTCAGGATAAACAAGTCCTTGTTGCTTAGTGGGTGGTCTGCCGTGTGGGTCTCTGCTGTTTCTTAGGGATAATTTTAGGTCATTGTCATAACCAGTCCTGTCCTTCCTGGAACCCAAGGTGATTGCAAAATGACTACAGAGAGAAGGGCTTAGAGCAAAGACAGATACAAAATGGAGGCAGGGATGCCAAGCTTTTCTCCTGCTTTTAATTAATTCATGGGACCAAGTAAGGAGTTACTGCTTTTCGGCAAAACAGTTTAATTGCCTCTTACAGAATGACTTGTCCTATCTTCATTTTCTGGGATTGTGAGTAGAGATATATATCAGGTCTCCTTTTTTTCTTTCATGTCTTTTGTCCTCTCTTTGGTATTTTCTTTCATTTTGTTTTGTTTTGTAACAGTGTATTGTTTTCTTATATCCCAGGGTAGCCTCTAACTCTAGATCCTGCTGTAATCCCCGTTACAGGCATGCCCCACCATACCCAGCTGTCTTTGACATTTTCCATCTATTTCAGTACTATTTCTAACATATATGTTTAACTTACATTCAAGTTTACTGATTCTTGAGTTCTGTATAATTTTATGTCTGTCAGCTGTCATACTTTTTTATTTAAAAAATTCTGTTGAAGTAATTTGTGTTGATACTCTGTCCTCAAGGAAGTGGAACATAAGTGCCCTTTCCTATCCCCTTACTTTTAGTGTAGGCTGCCTACAGTAATTTCCTACCAGAGTAAAGTGTGACAAAGGGGGAAAGAATTAACTTACACTATTGGAACCTGACAAACACTACCTCAGACAGATGACCAAGGTCACCATCAGTAGTCATAAATCATGTTTCTATGCATGTACCCTTGGTAATATATGAAAATAGTACTTTATATCTGTGGCCTTTGTCCTCAAAACCAGGAATGAGAAAAAGATCAGGCAGATCGCATCCCAGTTCAGGGACATTTTATAGGATATCCGAACAGCACTCCTCAAGGCCATAATAAACAGAGAAAATAGGAGCTAGGGATGTGGCTTAGTGGTAGAGCACTTGCCTAGCCTGGTGTTCAGTCCCCAGCATGACAAAGCAAAACGAAAAACAAGGCAAATGGACTGGGATGGATTGCTTACCTTGCATGTGTGAAACTATGTTGGATCCCCAGCACCTCAAAAATCAAATCAAAACAAAACAAAAGAAACCAAGGAAAGCCTTGAGAATTGCTTGAGCCAAGAGGAACCTAAGGAAATGTGACAATAAAGTGGTATTTTATTTTATTTGAGACATGGTTTGCTACATAGTGAATACTAAGTTTTAGTTAGGGAAAGTAAGTTCTGGTGTTTTGTTGAACAGTAGGGTGACTAAGTAGCCAGGATGTACTGTATACTTCAAAAAAGGTAGAAGAGAAAATTTTGAATGTTTTCATCACAAAGAAATGATAAATATTTGAGGAGATAGATACCTTTACCCTTATTATAGTTTCTTCTTGCTTGGCTTTTTTTCATTTCATCTGTTATTGATAAAGCTAGTTTTTAAAAGTTTATATTTAATAATTGTAATTAAGTCCTTGGAAGTCAGCAACTATTATATTTGGTTTCTACTGACTCTTACTCATGGTGGCATGGTTGTTTGTTTGTTTTTTAAATTTTAGACTCAGATTAGGTAATCCCAGTGGCTTAATTTAGCTGCTTTCCCTGAAGTTGCTTCTGCCTTGTGTTGGGACAGGGAAATTGGAGCAGGACTTGGAAAAAAAAAAAAACAAGAAACATGCAAAATTTACTACAGACATAACTAATATAGTATGATAATCTAGACTAGACAAATTTAAAAATTTACATCAAGTACATTGTTGGGACAGTTAATGAAATGAGAATATGGACTATGTATTAGAGAATAGAAATGTGCTATTTAAATTCCTAAATTTGATCATTATACTGTGACTAAAAGAATATTTTTATTCTTACAAAATACACACTGAAGTATTAAAGGATAAAGGGACTACATACTCGGGTGGTTCAAATAATACATAAATATACTAATTTATTCATTTATTTTAGTTTTAAATTAACATGTTCCTGGATTCTTAATATTATCTTTTTTTTTTGCACAAATTGACTCAAATATGATCTTTTCTTCTATTATTTTTGTTTCTAATATTAAGTTTTTAAGTAGAGAACTGTGAACTTGTCAGCATGTGATGGGTTGAAAATAAGATTTTACTTGATTCAAATGAAAAGTTTTAATCATCTTGAAAATTGCAGTCTTTTGTTTAACACATTAATAAATTATCTTTTTTATAGACTTAAGCTGAATTTTGGGACATGGCCACTGCTTCACCAAGGTCTGATACTAGTAGTGATAACCACAGTGGAAGGTCACAGTTACGGATAACTGGTAAGTGATTTTCATAATTTAATATGGTGATTTTCTGAAACTTGTTTTTGAATACCTAATTCAACAGACTTATGCTATAATGGTCTTGAGAAATACTGGAGTTGGACCTCTGTAAAAAGGACCTCTAAGGTTTTTGGTGCCTTGCTTTTGTTTTCTATTCTTTTCTCCTTGCCTTTGCCTTTCTCATTTTGTTAATCTAATTTTCAAAATAAAAATAACCTTATAAAATCCAGAATTCTACTGATTTCACAGTATCTTTTATAATAAATATTACTATTCTACTCTTCACTATCAATCAGGAAATTGAGAATCAGAGGAATTAAGTACCTTCTATTAATCATGGAAAACCAACTGAGATCTCTTGGGATCCTAAGTTTTATTCCAAGTGGTACTCTTCCTTAAGCTAAATTATTTTTAAAAATCTTAATTTTTTTTTTGGAGACAACCTCGCTATGTAGGCCAGACTAGCCCCCAAGCTGTAACCCTTCTGCCTCAGCCTCCTAGGTCCTAGGGTTATTTGTGTGTTCCACCATGCCTCGCTTATGTTCTTTTTCTTATTTCTATTCTTAACCCTATCTGATTGGAAGCAACAGATGATAAGAACAGTAGGAGAGATTATAGCTCTGTGGTAGTTCACTGTCTTGATGTAACAGAGCCTTGGGTTTGATCCTTAGTATTGCAAAATAATAAATAAATAAGTAGATAGATAGATAAAAGAGTAAGAACAGTGATCATGGAAAGCAGGAAAACTGAGAGAAAAAAATTAAACAGAAAACTACCCACTACAATATGGTAATGTAATATAGTTTACCATATTCATAAGCATAATAGCATGCAGAATATATTTAATGTTTTAGATTTTAGGTTTTTAACAGGAAGTAGTAGCATAAAGTTTGAAAGATGTACAAAAAGGAGTATACTGGAGTTTGAAAAACTAATAGGTCATTATATTCACATTTGTAATGTTCAACTGCTGTGCCTTTTAGTACCTTAATAATTTCACTTTTTAAAAAATTTAAGTTGCATCTTATTTGAGTGCTAGTGGTGTGAATTATAGACTATTCTTTTTGAGTGTTTCAACATTTGTAGAATAATCATATCTTCTTACTGATTTGAAATGTCACCATTATATACTAACATCTTACTTGTTCTCTTTACCTTTTTTACTTCACCGGCAGATTGCTTTATTTTCTTTTTATAGTGCCTAAAACAAATGTGGAGAAATCTGTCATTACTTTGCATTTGTGTGTGTCTTTATATCTTCACTATTCTCTAATTATTTGGCCTTTTACTTGAATTTGAGTCTGCTTCTCAGTTTCTCTTCCTCCAACAAAAGTACTCAAAACCAGGAAGTTGGGGTTTTCATTTTTAAAAATAATGTATTAAATTAGAGATAATTCAAATACTTCATATTTATAAATCCTAGAATATTCAAGTCATTCTTTTCATCTTTTATGTCCATCATTAATGTTTTATAGTTTTTTTTGTGTGGATACTATATTTTTAAGTTTAATACTAAGGTTTTTTTTAGGGAGGTTATTGTTAGTGAGAGTTAAAAATTAACCCTCTTCACTTTTTCAGATGGGAAGGTACCTATATCCTATATATTTCCAGTAATTGGAACTCCTATTTATAATAATAGGACTGACTTTGGCTATTTAAAATCACATTATAGTTATTTTAGGAACATTTTTTTGCCAACATATTTTAAATTCCTTATGAGCTAAAAATTATCTTTTAAAAAATCTCTCACCTTGCCAGCTTTTAGTATTATTGATCACTTTCCCAATTAAAGGCGGACAATAGATATGTTTTGAATGAGTCTGCCGTTTACTCAGAGGAGTTAGTATTTTACAGTTATTAACAATAAGGGTAAAAATCACCATGCTGGGTGCCAGGAATTTATTGGTTATGATAGTGCTTTGATTGGCATCATTCACCAATCTTTAGAATCAGGTATTGTTGTTCCTGTTTCTTATATGAAAACATGGGAGATTCAGAGAGGTTAATTGACCTTGTGGTCAGGACTCTAGTAATTGTAGAGTTAAAATATGAACCCAGGTGCATTGCACCTTGTGTTTTTGTTAGCCTATGTTGTCTTCTTTTTGCCTTCTTCTGGTGTATGAATAGATATGACCTGTGTATACTGAGGAAATGACACTTACTTGAAATGAAACTTTGGGCGATTTCTTGAGATAGCAAGTCTGGCCCTTTTACATTAGTCCAGTGGTGGTGAACTTAGAGCAACTTGGAATAGCAAAAGGTGGAAATGAGTTTTGCCAAGACACCTGAGACATAATATTGAACACTCTTTGCACTAGGTTGCTGGTACTTTAATGTAGTATTTGCTTTGAATCTCTCTTGTTACTCCTCAAATGTCAATAGCAGGACTATTGTATTTGAAACACTGTGCCTCTGCTGAAGCATTTATCACATTATATTTCACTGGTTTATTGTGTGACAATTCTCTCAAAATAGAACGGGAGCTTACAAAGCTTGTTTGTTTTCATATAGTTAACATCCCATGGAGGAGGCTTTCCCCTTTCTCTTCTCAGACCCAGGATGGTCATAAGTAATTGATTATAGACATGATACTGGTAAATTATTTCCACTGCTTGATAGTTAGTATTTTGCCTTAAAAACATATAGTTCCTTGTTTGGTTTTGTAGTTGTAAACATTAAAGGTACATGTTTAGCCTATATTAGTTCCCTCGTGACTTGGGCAGATTCAATTAATTTAAAATTAATTTTATATTAAAGGTTATGATTCTGTAATGATAATTTTGATTTTAAAGTTTCTGTTTGAAAAAGCAGATACTTGTCATCAAAAACACCACCACCAACAAATGTTGGTGAGGATGTGGGGAAAAAGGAACCCTCATACACTGCTAGTGGGAATGCACGCTAATGCAACCACTTTGGAAAACAATATGGAGGCTTCTTAAAAAACTAAACATAGATCTGCTATATGATCCAGCAATCCCACTCCTAGGGATATACCCCAAGAAATGAGACTCAGGCTATTCCCAAGGCACCTGCACACCCATGTTTATTGCAGCACTATTCACAATAGCCAAGTTATAGAAACAACCAAGATGCCCCACTACCGACAAATGGATTAAGAAAATGTGGTATTTATATACAATGAAATTTTACTCAGCCACAAATTTTGTCATTCACAAGTAAATGGATGAAACTGGAGAACATCATCTTAAGCCAAATTAGCCAGGCTCAGAAGGCCAAAAATCATATTCTCCCTCATATGCTGACTTTAGACCTAAAACAAATGCAGACATGGGTCACATGCTAAGGGGAGAACGTGTACAGGAGGAGTAGGGAAAGGGAAGGAAACCTAAAACTTGAAAGTGCTTGATGTGCTCACTGTAAAGGAGGGAGTAAAGTAATCTTAAACTGACAGAGACCACTATGGGAAGGTGACTGGGAAATAGTGAAGAGATCTGGTAGAGATGAACCAATTCGGGTTGTAACACACATGTACATGGAAGCAATGCTAGGAATCTCTCTGTATAGCTATCTTTATCTCAAACTAGCAAAAATGCCATGTCTTTCTTATTATCTCTTATGTTTTCTCTTCAACAAAATTGGAGAAGAGGGCAGACCTGGAAGCAAGAGGGGTGGGGAGGAGAGGAAAGGGGCGGGAAGGGGGTGGGATGGGGCGGGGGGGGGGGAAGATGGCCCAAACAATGTATGCTTATATGAATAAATGAATAAAAAATAAAATAATTGCTAGTAAAAAAAAGAAAAAGCAGATACTTTTTTTTTTTAAACTAATTTCTAGGTGAACTTTTTCTTTCTTTTTTTTTTTAACTACTGGGGTTTGAACTCAGGGCCTACACCTTGATCCACTCCACTAGCCCTTTTTTTGTGATGGGCTTTTTCTTGAGATAGAGTCTTGAGAACTATTTGCTTTCAACCACAACCCTCCTGATCTCTGCCTCCTGAATAGCTAGGATTACAGGCATGAGCCATTGGTTCCCAGTAAAGCATTTATGATAAAAATGACACAATTATGTAATGAATACCACCTGGTAGGGATGCTAATTGTCGTGTTGAATCTGAAGACACTTAATTTTCTTTTGACCCCTGTTGCAGTTTAGAATTAAGTTCAAATAGTGAGTTTTTTTTTTTAAAATTTTTAGTTGTATGTGCATACAATGTTAGGGTCATTTCTTTCCCACCCCCTCCCTTACTCCCTGCCCCCTCCCTCTCCCCCTCACCCCCTCACTACCTGGCAGAGACTATTTTGCCCTTATCTCTAATTTTGTTGAAGAGAGAGTATAAGCAATAATAGGAAGGAACTAGTGTTTTTGCTGGTTGAGATAAGGATAGCTATACAGGGAGTTGACTTGCATTGATTACCTGTGCATGTGTGTTACCTTCTAGGTTAATTCTTCTTGATCTAACCTTTTCTCTAGTTCCTGGTCCCCTTTTCCTATTGGCCTCAGTTGCTTTAAAGTATCTGCTTTAGTTTCTCTGCATTGAGTGCAACAAATCTAGTTTTTTAGGTGTTTTACCTATCCTCATACCTCCCTTGTGTGTTCTTACTTTATCATGTGATCAAAGTCCAATCTCCTTGTTGTGTTTGCCCTTGATCTAATGTTCAGATAGTGAGTCTAGTATGTCCAAGGGAAATGAAAACACATATTTACAAAAAATGTTGTGTACAAATATTCATAGAACTATTAGGCACAACATAAAAAAGTGGGAGCAATTCAAATGCCTGTCACCTGATAAATAGGCAAACAAAATGTGGTATAGCATATAATGTAATATTATTTGACAAGAAAAGGACTGAAGTACTGATGCATGCTACAACACAAGTAAAACTGGAAAACTTTATGCTAAGTGAAAGAAGTCACAGCAGACCACATGTATGATTCCAGTTATGTAAAATGTCTAGCAGAAAAAGTCAATAGATTAGTGGTTGTCTGCGACTGACGGCAGGATTGGGGGAGGTTGGGAAGAAGTTGAAATTGAAGGGTTAGTGCTTAATAGCATGAGTTTCTTTGAGGGGGGGTAACAATTTTTTTTTTTTTTTTGGTAGGTCTGGGGTTTGAACTCAGGGCTTCATTCTTGCAAAGCAGGTACTCCACCACTTAAGCCACTCCTCCAGTTCACAAAAGTTTTTTTCTGTTGTTGTTGTTTTTTAGCTTTGTTTTTTTGAGACTGGTCTGTTATGTAGCTCAGGCTGGCCTGGAACTCGAGATTCTCCTGTTTCAACTTTCCTAGCGCTGGAGTTACAGGTGTGCACCATCATTCCCTACCCAACAAAAATGTTTTAAAATAGATTGTGGTGATGTTTCATAAATCTGTGAATCTCTTAAAGCCAATGAATCTTACAGTTTACATGGATGAATTGTATGGTGTGTGAATGACATCTGAATGAAACTGTTAACAGAAAAATTCACAAGGCTTTCAGCATTATTAATAGCTTCTTGTTTTGGCAATGGAGAAGCGTTCTGGTTGCACACGAAAAATGCTTCCATTTTTATTGGTTTATTAGTAGGCAGTACTACTTTTTGGTCACATGTTCTCAGTTGTGATTATCATTTTTCTGTTAGTTTCTAGTGCCAAACTAAAAAGAAAAAAGAACTGGTTTGGAACGGCAATATATACAGAAATAACTGTAGATGGAGAAATTAAAAAAACAGCAAAATCCAATAGTTCTTCTAATCCAAAATGGGATGAACAGCTAATCGTGTAAGTACCTTCTAAAAAGGCTACGAAAGCTTCAAAATAGAGCATGCTTTTTAAGTTCTTTATTTTCTAAGACAACTTTAATTTTGGTGTTTCTGAAATAAAATGAAATAAATTTGTATATAGTAAAGGTATTCTAATTAATGCCACCAGTTTTCTTAAATCTTTAGAAATTTGTTCAAATTGAAATCATATTGTTGTGAATTCTTAGTAATACTCTTAGTATGTGCTGGAGTTTTGGTTTGCTAAATACAAAAGTGCTTATTTATTAAAATCCTAATGTATATGAAAGTAAACATTTTTATTCATAATTCAGATGGTTTACTATTTTGTAGACTATTAAAAAACTGAATTCTTGGTTTTAAAAAGGTTATTGAAATAAATCGCTTAAAACAATTACCACTTAGAGTGATGATATATGTTTCTGTACTTTTGTTAAAATTTTACCCTTGCAGTAATGTGACCCCACAGACTACATTGGAATTTCGAGTTTGGAGTCATCACACTTTAAAAGCAGATGCATTGTTAGGAAGAGCAATGGTAGATTTGAAGCAAGCTCTGTTGACGCACAATAGAAAATGTAAGTTGTTTTCTAACCTTAGTTTTTTATAAATTTATTTTTAACACTTTAACATATTCTGAAGTCCGAAAGCAAAATATAGTTTCACATTCAGAGAGGAAAACTTCATTTATAACCTGTGATTGCTTTTAAGTTTATGGCATCACATAAAATAGGTGACATATACTCTGACCTTTATCCATTGTGTAGATTTACAAAATGATCTCAGTTATCTACAAGTACTCTGTTATCAGTGATCCTCAGTCATCTCTTACATACTAATTACATATTTTCAAACTTCTTCTGGGTGCAGTGTTTGTCATTTATAATCCCAGCACTTAGGAAGCAGAGGAAGGAGAATTATGAGTTCCAGGCCATTCTAGGTTATATAGCAAGACTCTAAGCAACCGATCCTCATTCCCCTCCAAAAGAAACAAAACAACCCCCCCAAAAAAAAATCCTCAAGAGGAATGACCATTATCTGTGCCTACTCTGCTTTGTTTCTTGAATAATAAGTTATTGATGAAATAAATTTTGACTTTTTCTTTTTGAATTATGTAGCAATTCATTGTACAACATATAGAGAATATAGAAAACCACAGGGGAATATGCAAATTATCTTTAATTCTTCTATCCAAGGATAGTCACTCAGTAGTTTTGTCCCTGTCTTTTTCTTCTTCATAGACACATTTTTTTTTTTTTCTCCTTGCACCTGGTAGTTTGTCTTGTGCTTTAATTTTTTTTTTTTTAACAGTACACTGTAAGTATTGTGTTCTCATGATTTAAAATGTTTCTAGACTACGGAGATTGCAAGTACTTTCAAATGTAGTGGAGCCTATGTGTGGTAGTCTTGGTCACTTACTTTATTGATAAATAACTGCATCCAAGGAACTTACTAAAGAGTATACAAGTAATTGCATAGTTGTAAGTACAGCACGATTTTCTGATTCTTGTTGAATTTTGATTAGAAGTAGTATCAATGTATTCTGGTGTTAGGTAGCCTTGAAACAATTTTAAAATGCAACATGTGACAAAATTCTTGGTTGCCTTTGATTCAACCTTTTGATTTAGTACTTGGATTCTCAGTTTATAATTATCAGTTGAATGAGCTCTTATTAAACTTTGAGGGATCTGTTACTTCAAAAAGAGTAAACAGAGCAAAATAGGTAACCCCAGAAAAAAACATAACAGCCTCTAGTGATAAGTAAAGGTATTTGGTGTTACAAATGTTCTCTGCCCTTTTCCTTAAATCAGAATTTACTCACTGGTCTAGAGAAGAAAGATTCTTGATTTATTAAAAAAAAAAAAGTGTATGCTTTTGAGATATGCTGTGTTTAGGAGATGTTTGATGACCAGCACCTTGAAGTAGCAGAACCTTGCAGAGAATGGATTTTTAAGGAATGAGGTGAGTGAGAGAACTCTGCTGAGAGGAAAGAATGCATGATCAGGTCTGTGATGGTGAAAGAAGAGCACAGTGACAGCTATTCTGGATGGAGTCCTTCAGGAGGGAGCCTGGCTCTAGCATGCCTGAAAACTTGCAGGATAGTTTCTGACAAGACATTTTTTGAAAAGTTTATGAATATGGAGAAGGTAACTGGAGCCAGAAGAAATCTTCATTGGGACCATGACATTCTAGGGTAATTTTAAAGTATAAAAGATAAGGCTTGTCTATAGTTGGAAAGTGAGAGGGCATTTATAAAAATTGTAAACTTTAAACGAAATAGAATTAATGAGCAGCATAAAAGTAGAGACTGTTATTTCAGTGCCTTCCACAGTTGACAGCAAAAGTTAAAAAAATTTTTTTTTGGCAGTACTGGGGTTTGAAATTAGGCACTCTTGCTTGCTCGGCAAGCACTCGACCACTCAACACTTAAATCACACCTCCCTTTTTACTTCAGTTATTTTTCCTTTAGGCTTTCCTGCTTTTTTGCCTGGGCTGGACTCAGACCACAATCCTACCTCTGCCTCCTGTGTAGCTGTGCTTACAGATGTGTACCATCACACCTGTCTTGTTCTTTGAATTTGGGTTTTTGCACAGACTGTCCTTGAACTATGATCCTTCTGTCCCTACCTCCCAAGCAGCTGAGATTACAGGCTTAAAAATACTTTTAACAGAGAAGCTTGCTTATTCAAATAGAATGTATGGAATTGTATTCTCAAGCATCACTGTATATAAGGCATACACTGTATATAACACAATAGGGTTGAATCACATGCATACACCCACATGCCCTTACTCTTACTACCCAATAACAGTTCCTGAATTAACTTCTGTGGAATGCTGCTCCCTACACCAGTCTGAAAATCATTGGTTAATGACCAAACTCAAGTCCTGCTTTCAGTGTGCCCCTTGCAGAGTTTTACTCTGGTTTGCCTGGTACTCTGACTACACTCCATCTCACAGGTCTTCTTGCTGTCTTCTGTGTACACATTACTAGTCCTCCTATACTGAAGGCCATCTTATCACTAATTACTTCCTTGGTATTTTCCATAATTATACATTTGTTTAGTATAATTTTAATTCCTTAACACACAGAATTACTACCAAGGAGTATAAAAATACATCTAAGTTAATTTTTTCTTACTGCTACTCAACTTTCTTAATGGTGTTCATTTTTATCACATGGAAGCATTTGGTCCACTAACAATTTATGTTCCCTTTACTGGTCCTTCTCTGTCTGTTCCCTTCCTTCCTCATCCCCTGTATCTGTTTTAACTAAAATTCTAAATTTAGAAATTTCTAAGTTTCTCCCCCATTATGATTCTCTTCTGTTTGTCCTTTGTGTTTCTTCTGGCATCCTTATGAACATGATATAGTATAATACATATGATATGATATAATATGATACTCTTTCCTAGGCTTATAACCTACATCATCTGTGTGCTTATCTTTGTTTTGGTGTTGATTTACATTATTTGTTAACTTCTTTGTTGCTTTCAATTTTTTTTTTTTTTTTGAGGTGGAAGGTGTTGTCAGGCAGTACTCTGCCACTTGACCCACGCCCCCACCCCCCACTCTTTGCTGTAGTTATTTTAGTTATTTTTCACACTGGGTCTGATGCTTTTGCCCTGGCCAGCCTTGGGACATTATGTACCTTCCTACCTTTGCCTCCTTCACAGCTGGGGTCACAGGTGGGTACCACCATGCCTAGCTTGTTGGTTGAGATTGAGTCTCCTTAACTTTTCACCCAGGCTGGCCTTGAATTGTGATATTCCCATCTCTGCCTCCCAAGTAACTGGGGTTATATCTGTGAGCCGTCTTGCCTGGCTATATTGAGGTTTTTAAAAAGTTATTCTTTGGAAGTATATTCACACAACTAAATATTTTAAGAAAGAGAGCCATATCTCCAAATTTCAGATACTTTAAATGGAGAAAGGTGGCAAAATGAAATAGAATATTAGTTAATATAGTTTTTTCACATATAGATTATTAGGTACAGTTGAAAATCATACTTTCATAGGTTTGCTTTTTTATACTGTTTTAGTTCTAGTTTCTCTAATTTTTTTTGTTTGTTTTTGAATGTGGGGTTTATGGTGCTACAAATAGTTTGGGTATGTGTTCTATAACTTCTTTTTATATGATTCTTAATTTTTTTCCCAAATAATTCTTGCTCAGTGATTCATAGTTCCAGATTTTTATCTTGTCTTTTCTGTACTTAGATAATTAACATGTTTATTGCTCGGTATTTGATAAATGGGGAGGGGACAAATTTGTTAAAGATGTGAGATGTTCCAGATTTCAAAAGCTGTAAAAAGCTATTAAAGATGAAATTGAAGCAGTTGGCTCCATGTTGAATACTAGTTTTTATTTTTCTAAATTATAAATTGATAAACTAAAGTTGTATGTGTTTATGGGGGACAGAATGATGTTGCAGTTGTCAAAAAATGGAATTGTAAGTCAAGCTAATTAACATACCTGTCTTCAGATACTTACCACTTTTTGTGGTGAATGTTTGAAACTTATTCTCTTAGTAATTTTCAAATGTATAATACATTATTTTTTACTGTATTTACCATGCTGTGTTACATATTTCAGAGATAAAAACACTTCTGTGAAGTTGAGACTTTGTACCCCTTTGACTGTCATCTTCACATTCTTCCCACCTATCACTAATAACTTTTAATATATATTCTGTGGGATAGAAGTTGAATTGCAGTGAATTTGCATTTAAATAAGTAGACATCCCAATAATGGGGGGGAAGTATTTGGCTTTATATAAAAAAAGAAATGATAAGCTATTGCCATAGCACTTATTATTGATTGCGTACCCATGTTGTGTCACATGTGGTGCTAGAGCTTTCTGTGCAATTTTGTTTTAGGTCCTTATGACTGTCCCTTTAGATTGAAGTTCTTTTTTTTACAGTTCTGATTATCTCCATTTTGTCATGAGGAAATGGGGGAAACAGGCTTACAGAAGCTTGAATAAGTTAGAGTACAGCTAGTCAGTAGCAGAACTGGAATTAGTAACTTAGCTGTCTGACTCTGGGGTAGAAATTGTGGGACTTAGAAGCAACTGAAGATGATATTGACAGTGTGGGATGGTGAAAGAAGTTATTTAACTAGGTGTGAAAGGGAGTGACTCTGCTCTAGTATAGAAGGGTGCACAGATAAATATGAGAAGTCCTTCCATATATAGCTGTCACATACTGAGTCAGAGTAATTCTTAAAATGTAGTTTTGATTTCTGAAACATTTTTGTATGTGGCAAAAGATTTTAAATTAGGGTATTCTTTTTTTCTAGTGGAAAAAGTGAAAGAACAATTAAAACTTTCCTTGGAAAACAAGAATGGCATAGTCCAAACTGGTGAATTGACTGTTGTGCTTGATGGATGGGTGACTGAGCAAGAAAATCTAACAAATTGCAACTCATCTTCAGCCAGTAAGCTACCTTTGTGTATTTTTAAATTTAAATGACAAAAAGTCAGTAAGAAGTATATAAAAATCTAGTTTCTTTCCTCTATTTTAGTAGAAATTCAGCAAAATGGTGATGCCTTCCATGAAAACGGAGACCCTTCAGCGAGGACAGCCACCAGGTAGGATAATTTATTTTAGCACTCGTGGTAACATGATGCAATGTTACCCAAGTCTGAAATCTTTTTGCATTTATTCTTTTAACTTTTTTTATTGTTTGGATTTTTGAGACAGGCTGCTGTCAAACTTGAGATCCTCCTGTGTCAGCCTCTCAAGTTCTGGGGTTACAGGTGTGCCCCCACCACACCCAGCCCTTAGTGTGAAGTTTAAATTTTTAATCTTAGTTTAGAATTTGTCACAAAATTTAAAACCTTCCACATAAACATGTTATTTGTTAAATGCTTATGAAAGTAGCTTTTAAAATAATAACAATTTTATTGAGATTTGATATATACACCGTAAGTCATTCTTTTAAAGCATAAATTTCCTTGGATTGTGCATATTCATTGACTGTGTACCACAATCAATGTATCACTTCTATCACAATGTATTACTATCACAATGTATCCCTACTATCTGATTTCAGAACATTATCATTCCCATGCAAAAGAAACTATATCCATGAGCATTCTTTCTTCATCCCTCTCTCCTCAAATCTAGTAACCTACTTTCTGTCTATAGATTTGGCTGTTCTGACTATTTCATATACACAGATTCATACAACATATGACTTTTTTTGTGACTGGGTTCTTTTACTTAGCATAGTGTTTCAAGGTTCAGTTATCCGTGTTTCATTCTTTTTTTTTTTTATTGATAATGTCTTTTTAAAATCTGTATTTAGGCTTTATTGGTAAATAGTCAGATACTGTGGGGGAAAAAAATCTCATTGCTGTCTATATTGGTGTTCTCCTGTAGATGACAAGAAGATTAAATATTCTACGGGTTTTGGTCTTCTGCAAAAATCATCCTGCCTTTTTTTTTTTTTTGGGTGGTACTGGGACTTGAACTCAAGGCCTGCACCTTGAGCCATTCCACCACCCCTTTTTTTGTGATGGGTTTTTTTGAGATAGGATCTGAAGAACTATTTGCCCAGGCTGGCTTTGAACCGTGATCCTGCTGATTTCTGCCTCCTAAGTAGCTAGGATTACAGGCATGGGCAACCAGTGCATGGCTCATCCTACCATTTCAAAATTCCCTGGTATTCGTATTCCATGACAAGTAGTAGAGGCTGTTTGAAACATTAAAATAGTTCAAATATGGCAAAATTCAAACCTGAAAATAAAAAATATATATTGCTGTAAAATTTTCGTAGTACATTTGAAAAAACATGCTGTATAGGACAAAGTATGACCTTTATTACTTAAAAAGTTATTATTGGTATTACTCTTGAACAAGCCAGACCTACTGTTGCACTTCTGTAGGTCCAACTGCTCAGGAGGCTAAGGCAAGAGAATCCCAAGTTTGAGGCCAGCCTGGGCAACACAGTGAAAATTTAGTCTGAAATTTCTTTTAAAGGCCTGAGGCCCACCAAACACTGTTTGGAAAATAGGGAATCTAATAGAGGGGTGAATTTGTTCCAAGTACACTGAATACATCTATGGAATTATCACAGTGAAACTCCTTATACTACTAATGCTAATTAAAAATAAAATGAAATTTAAAAAATAAAAGTAAATAAATAAAGGTCTGAGGATATAATGGATATAATGCTGTGGTGGAGTACTTGCCTAGCTTGCATATAGCCATGGATTTGATTCTTAGTATTGCAAACCAAAACAAAAAACAACCTCTTGGTAAGTGCTTTAGAATGTGTACTTGTCTTTAAAAAATCTATTTAGTGTTCATATTATAATTTACATTGAGAAAAATTAATGAGTGGAAAGGGTACAACAGGTTGGTTAAAATTTATTAGAGGGTGCCATAAGTTGTCTTTTATGTTCTTTTAAAATATAATTTTAGATGGTTAAAGGAGCCCTAATTACTACCAGTGTAAAGCTTAATATTGTTTATTACATCGTAACACATCTTGACTTAAAGATTAGTCCTACAAGTACTAGGAGACTTTCAAATGAATTTCCTTATTTGGACTTCTGGGTCAGTGATTCTCTATGGGTGGCTGAGGAGTCACATACAAATCAGAATTATATGGGAAACATGTTCAGCTGTTACTTGTCCAAATTTCCTAAACACATCACATTACAAGGTTATAGGTAATAAGGAAAGGAGGATGTGCCTGTTCAGTGCCAGACCCTAGTCTAAGCACTAAAAATACCAACCCTGTTCTCATGAAATTTTATATTATAATGATGGGATAATTTCAGAAGAAATAAATAAGGTAATTGGACATGGTAATAAGAATTATAAAGTTGTGAAAAAGGACAAGGTAAATGGAATGGAGAGGAACTTGTTTTAAGTAGAGAGATTAGGGAATCATCTCTGATAAAGTACCATTCAAACTAAAATTAACAGGTCCAGAATGAGGGCTGGCAGAATGGCTAAAGTGGTGGAGCACCAGCCTTGCAAGCAGGCCCTGAGTTCAAACCCCCAGTACTGGGGCGGGGGAAACAACAACAAAAAAAAACCAAGAATGAGCCATACATGTAGAGTTTTGAGGGAAAAATATTCTAGGCAGAGAAATAGCAAGTTCAAAGGCCCTGAGTTTATTTACGATTAACTTTTGTTCCACAAATTGTCCTAACTTGAGTGTATAATATTTAACCCTTTCTGATAATCTTGCATTATCATTTTACTGCTTGGTATATAATAATTTGAAATAAACATTTGAAGACTTCATTATGGCTTTCATATTTATTAAAATTGTTTTAGTATGTCTGTTTCAAGTTGAGCAAGAAAGAGCTTGGAGAAAAATAGAGACATAATATGGGAAGAGGATGGGACTGATTTCTGAAAGCTTTGTGGACTGTGCTAAGAAATTTAGATTTTATTCCAATAGTAATGTTTTTAAGGCAACACTTAAGTTGCTCTGTGGATGTAGAGTGTCCTCTGTGTTTGAAAAAGCTCTCCTGATCACTTCCATGATACTGACAAACTCTTGATTCACCCTACTGCCAGTAGGACTTAAAATATTTGATTTTGTAGTCATACTTTGTATTTATTTGTTTATTTATACTTTATGTACTATAAATTCTTGTACTTCTGGGATATAATACCCTTTTCTGATCATCATGCACTCAAAATTTTAGTGTCTAATATATAATAATTTGTAATCAGTATTTGCAGACTTACTCAGCTTATTCTTCAGTCAAATTAGCAATTTGGACTTGAATTTTATATGTTTTATATAAATTTGTTAGCTTTTAGGTACTATCACAGCATTTAAAATAGGATAATATTCTTAGAATTAAATTAAAATGCACAATTTGAACATTATTTTGAGAGCCTGAATTTATTTGGACTCAGAAGATTTATTGGTGTATATATATATATATATAATTTTTTTTTTGTCTGTCAATATGGATTAAATTCAGAACTGAAAAGTAGTTTAAGGAAAATTAGGCCATATCTTTGTTCTTTACTCTTTCTACATATCACTTTATTTGAATGTTATGGACTCTAGATTTTTCTTATGAGAATTCTGATGCAAAATTATTTGATTGTACTTAAATCATTGAAGTAAGACTTTTCTTTTTTTTTCTTTTTAAGGTTGGCTATTGAAGGTACAAATGGAATAGATAATCATGTGTCTACAAACACTGTCGTTCCAAACCCATGCTGTTTGTATGTAGTTAATGAAGACAACACACCTTCCTCCCCGTCTCAGGTTGCTGCCAGACCCAAAAATACACCAGCTCCAAAACCACTTACATCTGAGCCTATCAACGACACTGGTAACCTTGGTTGTTTGTAACACATTGCTTAAATGAAAACAAAATTAAGCTTATGTATCTTTGCCTATACTTCCTTTTTTGTGCAATCTTCTATTGTTTGATAGAAATTTTCTAAAAATATATTAGTTTAGAGATCACAACACATTTTACTAAACAAGTGTTTATATGATAGCTGCATTCTTAGGCTTTATGCCATAAAATCCTATTTAAATTTCTCCACAGTAAGAATTACTCCATTATAGAAGGAATGACTAAGGAAGATTTTTCTCTATAATGCCTTTTGGATCTATCTGAAATTATTTCATTTATGAACAATATAACATTCCATAATTCCAAGACAGCAAATATAGTGAGTTTCTTAGAGCTTTGTTGTATGCTAGCTGTACTTCATTGTAAGTGACATAATGTCATGGAACAAATAATTAAAATTCATTCTATAGATAATCAAAACAACATGTTATAAATACTCAGCTTCCTTATAGGTTAATCTAAAAATTAAAATTTGTGGTTTTAAAAATAAAGTCTGAGAAATAACTATGGAAAGACCAATAACTTATTTTTAAATGTTGGTAGAGTGGCTCAAGTGGTAGAGTGCCAGCCTAGAAAGCACAAGGCCCTAAGTTCAAACCCCAGTACCACCAAAATAACAACAACAAAAAAACACAAAAAAGATTTATCTGAGTTCCATAGTTCATCACAATAAGGCACAAATCCAGTGCCTAGAAGGCTGAGGTTCACAAATAGTTATCATACTAAAAAAAAATGGAAAAAAAACCCCTTCTTATCCACCCATTTAAAAATTTACATTTTAAATAATAGAACATCCTTATGAACTCTCAAAACAGGTTGTAAAAATAAAACAACAAAAAAAATCAAAGCTTGTTCACCCTCACATTATCAAACGAATGAGCTTATTTGTTAGATGGAATTATTGTTAGATTCAGAAAGAATTCCATTCTTTCTAGCAGTAATTAGATAGCAAGACCAATCATTAAGTACACTCTTGATTCACGAGACAAGTAAGATGAAAATGTTGAAGGCTCATTTTGGAAAGGCTTGTACCTCCTTACTGTTTTCTTCTTGTCCTTCTATTTAAAGTATATGGAATTTGAGGGGTTTGCTGTTATTCCTAAAGCAGTTACCTACTTGAGTAGAGTGGTCAGAGAATCTCTTTATACTTAGTTTATGTTTTTGTGTTTGGGCATATTCAGATAAGAGAGAAGGAATTTAATTAGGGCTCTTCTCATTGTAGAATCTCTTATTTATACCCTTATTTATAAAGTCTTTCCATTGAAAATAAATTCATCTCTCGTATTCATCTCATATATATCCTTGGCTAAGTTTTAAGGTGAAAATAAAACACCCCTATGTGGAACTAGAAATGAAAGTTCTATCATAAATAATTACTGTAGCATTTATAATTATAAGAAAACCTAGGGCAATCTGAATAATGCTAAGTTCTAAACAGTATATATCTACTAACCAATTTAACTCTCAGATTAGTCTTGGGATAAGTACTAGTATTTTACTTTTTTTCTTTGTGAGGTAACTGAAGCACAGAGGGGTCAGAGCTAGGAAATAGAAGAGCTATAATGACATTTAGCTCTGTGACTCTTAGCTTTGTACACTGTCTTCACTTTGATGTGTATAGTTCTTGTAGTGTTCCAAAGGTATTGTCTTCACCTCCTCTGGTTGTTGTTGGTGATGTCTTACAAAACAATCCAACTGTCATCCTTCCATTGACTGGTTTAGAAAGGCTTCCGGAACCTAGTCTGTTGGTAGCAACAACATAACAGATATGTCTTTTTATATGCTCCCTCATCCCTTATTAGGATGAATTCAGGTATCTTTTCAAAGAATGGGAAATCACTATTCCTTTAAGATGTCGATGAGAAGTGGTATTCCTTTTAAAAATTAAGAGCATTAAAATCAGTTTTTGTTGGAGTTGTGGTGGGGATGAGGGTGGAAGTGTGCATATTCTATGTCTCAGGTACTATGTCTTTAATTTCCTATCTTCTAAGGTGTAGATGTGGTTTGTCCCTCAAAGGTTCAAATGTTGTAAGCTTCATCTTTAGAGTGGTGAGGTGAGAGGCAGTAGGACCTTTAAGATGTGTGACTAGGTGGGAGGATTTTAGATCATTGGAGGCATCCCCTTGGAGAGGACTGACGTAGCTCTTGTGGGACCCTGAGTTAATTCTCATCAGAGTAAATTGTTTGTAAGTTTGAGCTTGACTCCTGAGTCCCTGTCTGGCTTCCTCTCTGGAAATGTGATCTTTTCTTTTCGTACATACTCTCCTATTCATCATGAAGTCTTCACCAGAGGTAGCTGATACTTCATGCTATGCTCTTATTTGAACCTCCTAAACTGTGAGGTAAATACACCTCTTTCTTTAAAAAGTTACCCAGCCCCATGCCTCTGCCTCATTCTTGTAGTGAAAAATGAACCAACATACCTGTAATTCCAAAGTTCTGAAATTACTAAATGTTGTTTATTTGTGGGGTTTTTTTTTTGGGGGGTGATAAACTCATTTGATGGTAAAATGATTAGAACTGATATCAGGCTATTTATAGTTTTTGTTTGTCATGCTCATTATTCCTGTTACTGCATTTTGGTACAGAAATATTAATATATTTAACCACAATGTGTGGCCCTTAATTTACTCAGATATTAGTGTAAAATGTAATATACTTGCCATATTGCCCTTGAAAATTCTGACAAGTAAGGAACTTTGGAACACATGTGACCCTCAGATAAGGAGTTGGAGGATAGTACTAAAGAGTTTAGACAAATCATAACTTTCTAACAGAGATAGTATTATACAATGAAGATTTTTCTTCCCTTCCTATTCTTTTGAGTACTAATTAAGAGAATTCATTTGACAAGCTTAGTTACTTTGAATATTAGTAGTTATTTTTAGACTAAAATGTGATGATGTAGTAAAGAGTTGATTTTGGCTTCAGGCAAGACTCAGCTCAGCCACTTAATCTGTTAACTGCATTCTTGGACAAATTTAACATTGTCAAAATTAGCTCCTCCATGTATGAAAAGAGAATAAAACTACTTTTATAAGTCTGTTTTGAAAGTTAGATGAGGTAATAAATCAAAAATATCTACCATAGTTCTTAGGCAGTTATAGGTATGTTCTTTTTCACTTCATTCCCCTATCCCTAACTTCTGTGAAATGACTTTTCCTAATGTATAATCATTGTTTTATTAATAGAACAATCAGAGCTCAGTATTTATTAGGCAGAACTGATGTCAGAAGTTTATTATACCTTTTTCTTAGCTTTTTATACTAAAGAATAATAAATATACAGAGAATTGCAAGGAAGATCCCATGTATTACTTGGAACCTTAATACATTGTATAACTGTAGTAAATTATCAACATCAGGAAATTGGTATTGATACAAGCCAAAGAACTTGATCACACAATTCTACTTGCATTCTGTGTGTGTGGGTTTCAGTTCTGTTCAACTTTATGACAAATGTGCTTGATCTGCCAATGTAGTAAAAATACAGAACTGCTCACTATTACCACAGGCTTCCTCATGCTCTTTTACAGGCATACCCCACTCTGAAGTATGAATTTCCTTTTTGTTTTCTTGGTGAGAAAAGGTTTTTCTATGTAGCCCAGGCTATCCTCTTAACTAGTGGTCCTCTTGACTCAGCCTTCTGAGTGCTGGGATTACAGGCATGTGACACCATGACTGGCTGTGAATTTACTTTTAAGGAAACTTACTGTGTGTAGCAAACAGCTAGTTTTCATATCATAGTTTTAAAAACAGGTTGAAAATAGTATATTAGTTTATTTGTGCTCTAATATCAAAAATATCCGAGGCTGGGTAGCTAAAAGAGATTTATTTCTTTGGAAGCTGAAAGTCCAAGGTTATGTGATCCCATTTGTTTGGCCTTTGGTAAAGATTTCCTGGCTAATGGCATTGTCACTGGAACACATACAAAAGGAAGAGGTCACATGGTGAGATAGGAAACCAGAGAGAGATTGGAGTCAGGTTCACACTTTTATAACAACTCAGTCTCTTAGGAACTGACTGGGGGTCCTATGAGAGCTATCTCAGTCCATTATGAGGGCAGCACCCCCATGACCCAATTGTTTTCTATAGTAGTCTTCCATTTCTGGATGGGAGCATAGCCTAAGTAGTAGAGCATCTGCTTAGCAAGCTCAGGGCCCATGGTTCAAACCCAAGTACCTTAAATAAATAAATAAATGCATATATACAGAATCACTTCTGAAAGGCTCCACTACCTCTCAGATAGCTATACTGAAGACCCAGCTTCCAATACATGAACCCTTGGGAGATACACTTAAACTGTATTCAGATCGTTGCAAATGGTATTGAAATTCTCTAGTATTTCTACCTTTTTTCTATTTCTATTTTATCTGAAAGAACTGCTAGAATGAGTATAGCTGCTTGGTGCTATGAAATGGATTAAAGTCTGTGGGAAACTTCTCAAAGATTAAACGTTAAATTAGGGAGATGTGCCTTGTAATCCAAAAGTCCTAATGCTGAAAGTGATGTGTGGGATATGCTCATTAAGAAACCAAGCCAAGTCAGGTGAAGCAGCACAATCTGTAAGTCCCAGCTACTTGCAGGAGGCTAATGTAGGAGGATTGGTTAAGCCCAGGAGTTCAGGGTCAGCCTGGGAAGTTTAGCAGGACTACATCTCTTTAAAAATAAAAACCAACCATGTCACTGGATGTGGGCTTATCTTGTGGATGAGGAGATGAGATGTTTTGCAAATGGTAGTAGTATCACATTATATTTTAACTGTTTTCTTACATATGATTCTCTGTATGTGTGAGAAGGGAGCCTATGATCCTGCTCTTTTTCCTTTCCATTCCCTTCCCTTTCTTTTTCCTTTTTTTGTAAGTTTGTCCAGCCATCCTTATTTCCATTTTTCAGCAGGCATTTGTTTTGCAAAAATATCACAGGCTGGGTCTGTGATACATCATACAATGGAATATTATTTAGCTATAA